CATGTCCAGATCCATATTATAAAATTAATACTAGTGTGCATAATATCAAAATAAAATCTGTTGCTATAAAGGGATATATAAACATTAAAGAAGAACTTATCTATATTTCCCCGGGAAAAAAAAAAGAAATATTCCATCAATAAAATATTTCTCTCCCTCTACCTCTATATAGATTCATACAAACCCTAACAAAAACGTATCTCTATTCATAAAATTCCTAGATTACTCTTTTCTTTCTCGATGTTACACTTAGAGCGAGAAAGAAAGAAAAAGCAAAGATTGATCCGTGAGGGGAAAAAAGTTCAACAAAGTGAGCCCGAAAACATAGAATTGGTTTTGAAGATCTTTCGAGGTTCGGTAACCGATGAAAGAACTCCTACGCAGCCTTACGAAGGTCCTGAGTACTATAGAGTTATGGCATGGACAGACGTAGACAAACAATATGGAACAAAAGCCGTGAAGGGTTTCAGAGGCATCCCTATTTTTAATATGAAACTTGTGATTCCTTTAGATTCTCTTGCACATCAATATCTTTACATTGAATTGGTTAAGGGAATTTCATGGAGAGATCCTGGAACATCGAACGGTACTACTGTGATGGGTCGTGCGAAGATTCGATTGCCTCCTTGGAACAGCCGTGGTGAATTCACCTCTAAGTTCAACCTCGTCCGTTTGAACAGTGATCGATGCGTAGAGATTAAGGGATTCATAGAATTATCTATGCAACTTCATAGATATGTGGCGCTATGAATTCGTTTTTATCCTTATGATAAAAGAGTCGGCGTTTTTGTTTATTTTAGTCTCTCATTTTTATTTTTTTGGGTTTTGGTCTTAATTATTAAGATTTTTAATAGCTTGTGTTTGATTTGATATGAGTTATCTTGTTTTTGATATGCCTCTAATATGTTCTCTCTGTGACCAAAAGCACTTACACGAGCAAAACCAAACCCACTTCCTGGAGTTGTGACAACACAAAACACATCCCAGTGAGCTTTGGTTCGGGAAGTGAACCCAAACGTTCTTTCCTCTGCACATAACGTATCCATGAGAAGTTAATGTCGATGCATCGTATCCAGGACGAGCTCGTCCATTTTGAGCACCACCTATGGTTATACTAGCTACTAGGTGACTTACACCATATGGTTATGTTTGTGTTTTCTTTATGCAAGCCAATCACCTTGTGCATTGCTTGCAATCTTGCCAAAGGACAAAAATTTATGTTAATTATGAACTCTTGGTAACTGGTTTAAGTTTAGTGACCAAACAAGAGCACTCAACATTTACATTAAAGTTATTTTCGTCCTTATTTTTTTGAATAAATGTAAAATTTATTCAAACAAAAAAACAAACATTTTTACAATAGATGTAATATTTCATCAAGTCTTTTTCTTAACACTAGGCTAAAAGTCTAAAACATTAGTGAAACAATTTGAATTAGTCAATGAGAAGCAAACAAGGTCACCAATCCATCTATGTATCTCTCAATGCCACGGAAAAAAAAAAAGATAACCCA